CGCAACTCTGTCAATGTGCGGGGCGTCGGCCAATCTCTGATCGCCGCGATCTTGCTGTCCTCTGGCTTAATGCCATCTCCGTCCAACACGCGGCCCAAGTATAAGACTTGCGTCTTGGCCCACTCGCACTTCTTCGCGTTGATCTTGAAGTTAGCCTCTCTAAGCTTCTCCAAGACCTGCCTCAGATGACCTTGGTGCTCCTGGAGGGTCTTACTAAAGATAAGGATATCATCTAAGTACACTACCACAAATTTATCTTACCACGGTCTAAACAGGTCATTCATGCAACGCTGAAAAGTAGTTGGCGCGTTGGTCAGTCCAAAGGGCATCACTATAAACTCATAATGCCCATATCTAGTCCGGAATGCAGTCTTGTACTGATCATCAGGATGAACTTCTATCTGATGGTATCCGGACTTTAAGTCTATCTTAGAGAAATACTTACAACCCTGTACTCGATCTAAAAGATCGTCTATCCTGGGCAGCGGCTCAGCATTCTTCACTGTGATCGCGTTCAAACCCCTATAGTCTATACTCATACGAAGCTCTCCTTCCTTCTTGGGGACAAACAAAATGGGTGCTCCAAAAGGAGACGAACTGGGCCTGATCCAACCTTTCTCTAGGAGTTCGCCTAACTGCTTGCGGAGCTCCTCTAACTCTCTAGGGGACATCCTGTAGACTGCACCCTTAGGAGTTCTACTGTCAGGCTCTATCTCTATCCTGTGCTGGATGGGTCGCGACACTACTCCTGTCGGCGACTCAGTCAAGTCTTTGAATTCTTCCAGGAGCTTGGCAATTGTTGGATCTGTGGAACTATCCTTTTCCTGGGCCTCAGTGACAGGTCTGACATATACTACAAAGACCTGGTCTTCTAACTGCTCCTTCTTTACTAATCGCGCGAATGCGGGAGCACTGAGACAACAATGTGTCAAGGTGTTATCTACACCAGACACATGGAACAAGCGGGCAGTCTTAACTTCGCTCGCCGGACTAGGGAGCCTACACTCATGCTCTCTCAAATGAAGTGTAGCCCCTACTGCCTCTCCCCAATCCATTCCTAACACTATATGGAAAGGAAGGTCATCTTGTACGAGGAGAGTCAGGGAATGGAAAACTTTCTCCACCTTCCCATCCTTCTCTAGGCGAAAATACGTCTGGACTCCCTCTACATAGTCCTCAACGCGCATCGTGCGGTTGTCTGCGAGGACACTAACTATGGGGTCTACTAATTTCTGGACCTTTAGTCCTAGCCTCAACTTCTTCAGCGCCCTCCGGCTAATATAACTACGGGTAGCCCCTGAGTCTATGAGAGCCCCTACTCTGCTCCTAAACACCTCTACATCTACTAAGATCAGTTGTCCCTTACTCTCCTTTTTCATTTTGGCCCAGGCTGGCATCCTCTCCTTTAACTCTTTTGCCACACCTGTGAGGGACGTGCCTAAAGAGACGCTAACACA